GTGAAATTTTATGTTGAATGAGTCAAATAAAATGATTTTGTAACATTGTATTTTTAGAAATTACTCAAAAATGTCATGTGAAATGTCAGTAAGTTACAAAGGATTCCTGTTTAATTTTATAAACAATTGTATGAGCTGATATGAACAGATATTATTATTTGATCTGTGTTAGGGGTAGGGGAGCGATGTTTGATACAGATTCTGGTATTTTATCACAAAATTCTATTATTTTTATTTAAATAAACAAATCATAAAAGCATAATAATTTACGAGTTTACAAATTAATTATACCTTTTTACATATTAAAATACTTGGCAACCCTGTACACATAAGTCAAAATATTTGATGAAAAATGTGCAATTTTTGAGATTTTAATATTAAATTTCTCGCTTAATCGTGGATAATCTCCAAAATTTTTTTAATTGTCATAATATATAACTTCTTTACTTTCTAATAGTACAAATTTTTTTTTGAAATTCGTGTGTCTTTTAAGTCGAATGTAACCCGTTAATGATATTACCAATTCATCAAAAAGTAGTAATAAGGGTTGTACAAACAGTTTATCCTCAGGAAATATGGAATTTGAGACTCGGACAATAAAAACTAGAACAGGTAGACAACAATTTTACAATTTTAAAGATTATTTTGGTTTTAATTAAGATTTTAATCATTATAATGTTTACACATTTATCATTTCAATTTAGTTACATGACTATATTTTAAAGAGTTTAAAATTAAAAGTAGTTTTATACTGTATGTAACCTACTAAACATAGAAACTTGCAAACACTTCCTGTAAGTTTATTTTTGGCTTGCAACTAAAACTTATTTTGTAAGTGTACCGAAAATGTATTATAAGTTTATAAATTTTAGTTTATAATCGGACATTTTTAGTAAATATTTATGAGAAAATTTGTATTTTTAAACTTGAAGCAATCTTGTATTTGTATGTTTACAAAATAAAATTAGCAGAATTTTTTTTTTATAAATTAATTTTTGAAGACTTTATATATATTTAATAATTAAAACGTATATCCAATTTAAAAATAGAGAGTTGCAAACCCTTGCTGCAAGTTTATTTTCGGCTTGCAAATAACTTATTCGAGAACATTTACATTCTTAAACTTTGAATGAAAAGGTAGTTTACTGCTTATTGAATCTATTTAATTATTTAAACTATCAAAATCTAATTATCCGAAAATGTATTTGAAAACTTCATAATATACTATACAGGTATGCAGTAACACAAGTGTACAATAATTATATTCAGTTTACACACGTACAAATAAATTATATTCTTAAATTATCTTTTTTCTAAAGGACCCCCCCAATAATCTTATGGAAATTGGGTTTCTGTCAAATTGTCTGAACTTTTCATATGTTGTAAATTTTGTCATCCTGAACAAAAGTCTCCATGGGCACAAAGTGCCAAAATGAATATTTTGGCATCTAAGAAGCTGCCAAAGCTCCCCTGACCCGTTGCAAAACTATTCATTTTCAATACTATTTACAGATATCAAAGCATATTTTAATTATTCTAATATATAGGGTAATGTTTTTGAGGTTAATGGAATCAATCCTAATGTCAGATTGGACAAATTGACCGTTGACAGCTGTCAATTCACGGTCAACGAGGAATATAAAAGTAAATATCCTCTTTTCACATTGAGAATTTGGGTTGTTGAGGTCGCTGAATTCAATTCACATGTCAGATTGGACAAATTGACAGTTGACAGCGAAAAGCAGATATTTACTTTTATATTCCTCGTTGACCGTGAATTGACAGCTGTCAACGGTCAATTTGTTCAATTTGACATGATAATTGAATTCAGCGACCTCAAAAATCCAAACTCTCAATGTGAAAAGAGGATATTTACTTTTATATTCCTGGTTTGACAGTGATTTGACAGCTGTCAACGGTCAATTTGTCCAATCTGACATGAGGGTTGAATCCAGTGACCTCAAAAACATTACCCTATATATTAGAATAATTAAAATATGCTTTTGACATCTGTAAATAGTATTTAAAATGAATAAGTTTGCTTTGGCAGCTCCGTAGCTGCTAAAATATTTATTTTGGCACTTCGTGCCCATGGAGACTTTTGTTCAGGATGACAAAATCTACAACATATCAAAAATTCAGACAATTTGACAGAAACCCAATTTCCATAAGATTATTGCGGGGTCCTTTGATAATTTGATCTGATTTGATTACAAACGTGCCAACAAAAAAGTCCAAATGAAAAATGCAGTACGCAGAACCCTACCTTACCGACACAGGCGATTCACACTTTGTGTATTCCGCGTATTCTTACTTTCTTCTCATGAATGCTATAAGTATTATAATGTTGACAACAAAATTAAAACTAAGTATTATAATGTTGACAACAAAATTAAAACTTGAAGTAATTACACTTTTATAGAATTAAAATGATTTTACTCGCAAATTCATGTGTCTTATTATTTAGAATTCCAATAGTGATTTACTTTACCCTCCAAATAGATCTTTTCGCACAATCTTCCTATGAACGCTGAATGCTGCAAAAGTAGTTAAAAACCTACCAGAAAAATAATTCTAAAAATGTAAGAATGTGATGACTTTCCGCTCGATCATTTTTTTTTTTCTAGAATCTACACAAAGAAACATAAACCAGAGTATTTTTTTGAATATTTTATTAAGAAACTCTTCAGAAATCCTGCTAACACCTAGGCTAATACTAATATTACTAATTGAGATTACTGGAAAATAAAATTAAATCTAATAAAAAAAAAATTTATTGTCAAAAAACTAGCTTGTAGCGTAGCAACCTTAACTAAATCAAAACAAACAAATTGCAAAAATCACAAAAAGAAACTAAATGTTTTATTAACCTTTTCGCTTCTTTGGTACAAGACTAGATACTAATGGCACATTTTTGTATAAGAACTTGGTAACAAAAATAAATCTTCTTCTAAAAATTAGGCAAGGAAGCCTAGTAGGGTGTCTCACGCAGAATTTATTGATTTTTGGAACTAAATCTTTAGCTAGAGAAATCAGTTGCCTACACAAATCCAGTGTCTCATTTTTTTTCTCTAAATTTTCCTTATGTGTCCTTTCAGTATTTATCTCTTTCTCTGCGAGAATTTTTGCAACTTCGTTTGGTGTTTTTACCACCAGTTTTGTTTTTTTTTGACGGAGGATCACTAACATTTTCATTATCAGAATCATTATGTGTTGTAGTTTCTGATGGGAAGTTATTATTAGAAGACGATGCTATTGCCACCAGTTCTATGTTTGGATCTTTTTAAAAGATTTCATCCATTTCATCAAAATAGGCAAACATTATTTTGGATTCTCCAGTTTTATTCGCAGACATGTTGTCCTTTTTTTTGTATACATTGTTTTCAAATACTTGAATTTGTTACATTGTTCACCATTTTTGTCTCACTCCATCTTATCAGCAATCATATTCCAAAACCGATCTTTTCTGATTACTGTTGACTTAAAAGACTCTTGATTTTCTCCATATAAAATTATTAGTTTCAAAATTAATTTCACTTCTTGTCCATGGTGATCTTAATTCCTAATCTGCAGAGCTCACAACAGAGCTAACAGTTTTCTGGAGATTTCTCACTTTGTAACTTCCGTTTTAACCAAATTTGAAGCATTATCTGAAAAAAAAAAAAAAAAAGAAAATCATATTATTCAAGAGCAATGACTGTTTATAATTATTTGTCTCAAGTTTTTGTTAAAATTGCAGTTAAGAAATTAAATTTTGAAACAGTTATCACAACATATCAGGATGATTGCTATACAATGGAACAAATCTGAACAATGTCATAAAAAATAAATCAAATCACGGTATCTCTTTAAGAATGAGGTATGCAAAATAAGGATAACACGTTTAAAACACTGGAGAATGCACAAGATGCTCGCTTATTTTGTTAACATGGATTGAATGGATGTAACTGAAAAAAAAAAAAAAAAAGATTGGCTATTGGGTGGTGTTGTGAAAACTCACAACATTTTGGCTAGTATTCTTTGTGTTAACAATCTTTGTAGACTGTTATTTAAATATTAGTTATCTTTATTAATAATAATTTAATTTTTGACTACTGCCACCCTGTAAAATCCTTAGATACATTGTGCAACCAAAAAAAAATGGAATGTCGAGGTGTTTTGGCAATTAGTGTTGCCTACCTATTAGGAACCATTGCAGTTCTAAAGGCAAACCTGCGCACAATTTCTAAATGTTAAAGGCAGTAGCGACTTGAATTCGAACGTGAAAACAATAGATTACGGTCTTACAATTAATATTCTTTCGATATTTCTTTTGCCGATTTCGGGTGTTAATAATAACCACCTTCCTCTCTATCCCTTCTATGTTCCCTCCATAGGTGGTGAAACCCTAATAGTTGAGAACGAACCAGCATCTACCGGTAAGTTTTTTATCATTCATTTCGGTTGTGTACATTTTTTATACGATTAAAGGGCGAAAGGAATCCTAAGGGATCAAAAGTTCTAGCGATAAAGGAGAGCAATTGCCGAAAGACTTAAAAGTTTTAAAAATAAATCAATTTAATTTTTATTTTGATTTCAGTGTCAAATTAGTTGTCGAGTTAAATTTTTTCAATAATTTGTATTATACAGGGAGATTAGGTAGCCAAATTTGATAGACCGTAAACTATCCACCTACATTTTAGTTGTCGTTGCTAATTAAAATAAAATCCTAATATATTAATCTGAATCCAAATAATAGATTTTTGTCGTGTTAATCGAGATAACACATACCTGGATACCCATTTTCGTAATATATTAAGCCACTAAATACATTAATTTCGTCCAAATTTAGATACATTTTCTAGTTTAACTTTGATACCTAAAATAAAAACATTTGAATTATTTCGTGAGCTGATAACTATCTAAAAAAAGGTACCTTTTTTGTGTCCTTTCGGTAGCAAATATAATTTTTTTTATTTCGATATAAATTTTATTGATATTTTATTTCGATTTATTATAAAATGCCTACTCAAGAAGAATTTAAATTAGATGGATTGATTGCTCGCAGAGAAAATATTTTTAGTAGAACCCAACGCTGTTACGATGTGGCAAAAGACGTTGAAAGAAATCCTAATTCCAGTAGCAAATTAGAAGCCTTTTCTATTCGTTATGATACTTTTTCCAATGTTGTGCAGGAATTTCACTCAGTTGTAGAGGAAATCGTGATATTAAAACAAAAACTTAAACAGGATGAGGCTCCGAATTATGACTTGCTAAACACCTTTGACGATCTTTATAGTACGATTGAGTATTTAGCAGCTAAATGTTTATCCTCTTCGACTCCCGATCCCCCAGAAAGTACTGATCCAGACAGAAGACTTCGTATGCCAAAGCTTGAACTTGTAAAATTTTCGGGCAATGACCTATCAGTTTGGCCTTTATTCTATGAAAATTTTAAATATTTGGTTCACCGTAAAACTGAATTTGCAAAGGTTAAAAAATTACAGTATTTATTGGGAAGTCTTACTGGAAAAGCTTTAGTAACGTGTAATGCGTTTGAAGCTACCCCTAATAATTATGATTCAATTTGGAAATTATTAGAGGATACCTATAATGACAAAAAATATTTAGCCGGTTTGTATTTAGATCGAATTCTAAATTTTCGTTCTTCGCCCAGTAGATAATTTCATTTTAAGAAAATTTCGATACTGCGGTAACTTCCTTTAAACGTTTGAAATTAAATGATATTTGCGATTATATACTTTCCTGCATTGCTCTTTCAAAATTGCCCAAAGATACAATTGATGATTTTGATTTAGTTACCCCTCAAAATGATATCCCAAAATATGACGACCTTGTTAAATTTGTTCGCCAAAGAAGTAGGAATGTAACAAGAAATGATAAACCCAAAATTGCTGCCGGTCCTAATTTGTCACATTCTAAACCTAGTACTTTCCATAAAAACCCAAAAACCTTTATGGCCAATAACTTTGCCAAATTCAATTGTATAGTTTGCACACACCAACAACATTATTTGAAAGATTGTTCTGTTTTTAAAAGTTGGCCATTCGATCAGAAGTTTAAATTTGTAAAGGAAATCTATGCATTAATTGTTTCTCAAATAAACATAAAGTTAGTAATTGTCCATCTCGATTTAATTGCACATTATGTCATCAAAGGCACCATACTTTGCTGCATAGAGTCGAAGCGAGCAATAGAGTAAATTTGAATGCTTAATAAAATAATATACAGTCCACTCCACCTAACAGTTCTCAAAATATGTGCAATACAGCCCAATTTAATACTCTTTACAATAAATCCCAATTTGTAGTTTTAAGTACCATCGTTGCCAATGTTAAAAACAAATGGAATAAAGTAAACAAGGTTAGATTTTTACTTGATAGTGGGTCTATGCCTAACTTACTTACCTTAGATTGTTGTCAAAAATTAGGATTAAATTTTCATAAATTTAATTCAAAGGTACTAGGTGTGGGGGGAAATATAAATACCCTAAAAGGTAAAACAAATCTCATGTTATTTTCCCAAATCGATCCCAATTTAAAAATGCCAATAGAAGTGTTACTTGTTGATAAGATTACAAACCCGTTGCCAGAATTTCCTATTGACTAGCAATTTGGATTATTTGAAAAATTTGCCATTAGCTGATCCCTCTTTTCATATCCCCGGTCCTATAGGTGCGTCTATTTTCGCCGATTTGATAGGAAATAATAAAATTTCGGGGAAAGACGGATCCCCAACTGCCATTAAAACTACCTTTGGTTATGTTGTTACTGGTTTCATCCATCCGTTACAAAATCCACCCACTGAATATAATTTTCATACCTTTATAGTTGTAGCTTTCACTTTAGATTCATTAGTAGAGAAAATGTTTCAATTAGAGGATTTTTTTCAACCATTGCTAAATGATGACGATCTCATTTGCGAGAAAATATTCCTTGATAATGTTAGCCGAAGTCCATCTGGTCGATATTCTGTAGCACTGCCCTTTAAATCCGACCCGGAAGAGTTGGGTGATTCTTATTCGTTTTCTAAGTCCCGCTTATTTTCTCTCGAAAGAAAATTAAGTAGATTTCCTAATCTTAGAAAAACCTATTCTGATATTTTGCAAGATTATATTAATCAAGGACATATGTCACTAGTCCCTTCTAATTTGCAAACTATTCCTTCGTTTTATATGCCACACCACTGTATTTTTAAACCTGATAGTGTTGCAACTCCCTGCCGTATTGTATTTGATGCCAGTATGAAAACTGATAAAAACATTTCCTTAAATGAGGTTCTATACACTTGTCCCAAACTCCAAAATAATGCTGTTAGCATCCTATTAAATTTTAGACTATTTCCTATAGCAGTAACCTCGGATATGAAACAAATGTATAGACAAATTGAAATTATTCCAGAAAATCGAGAGTATCAAAGACTCCTTTGGCGTTTTAATACACAAGATCCGATTTCAGTGTATCAACTCAACCCAGTCTCATTTGGTGTTAAATCGTCCCCGTATTTGAGCCTAAGAGTTATTAAAAAATTAATAGACGATGAAGTTGCTAACTATCCTGATGCTGTCGGGCCCATTAAAACTGATATGTATATGGATGATTTAATAACTAGTTTTCCGGATTTACAATTGGCTACAAAGTCTTATTCACAAATTATTGCCTTGTTTTCCTCTGGTGGTTTTCAAATCGTAAAATGGATGTCAAATTCATCTGATTTGTTATGTTCTATTCCAGAAAGTTTTAGACTAACCCAAGTTAAAGATTTTGAATCTGATTTTTTAAAGATTTTAGGTTTACAATGGAACCCCTCAATAGATAAGTTTATTTTTAAAATCACTCCCGTTGATTCTGTCTGTACCAAGAGGCAATAGCTCTCGTTTGTCGCTAGAACTTTTGATCCCTTAGGATTCCTTTCGCCCTTTATTCTTCTTATCAAACTATTGATAAAATCTCTTGGGGATTTAAATTATAACTGGGATGATGTTGCTCCAACAAAAATAGGTCAACAATGGCATAAAATTCTGTCCGAACTGTCGGAATTTGGTAAGTTTGAAATTCCAAGACATATTTCTTTTTTCCTGGATTGTAGTTTAACATTAGTTGGATTTTGTGACGCCAGCAAAGCTGGCTACGCAGCGGTTGTTTATGCCATATCCAAAGGGCCCAAGTTTGTCAATGTTACATTTCTATATTCCCAGGCACGCGTAGCACCTAAATTAGTTGTTACTTTGCAGCGATTAGAATTATGTTCTGCTGTTTTACTAGCTAAAACATTATTTCATATTAAGAGCAGCCTTTCACACCATATAAACGTTGAAAATATATTTGCACTTACAGATTCACAATTATCCCTCCATTGGATTCATTCTCAGCCTAAAAGGTGGAAAACTTTCATTTCTAACCGAATAACCTTAATCCAGAGCTTAATTTCGTCGGAAAATTGGTATTTTATTCCAGGTAATCAAAATATAGCTGATTGCGCTTCCCGAGGACTTGATCCCGTAGCCTTTATGAAAAATCATGATTGGATCAATGGTCCTAATTGGCTGTCCTATAATATCTCGAATTGGCCTATACAATCGATCAACGATATAACTCTTAACAACAATTTCCCTAAACATGAATCTTGCGAATTAGTCGCCATCGTATCCCTACCAAAAGTCGAAAATCCCCTTTATTGTATAATAGAATATTTTTTCTCCCTTAGTAAAATGTTAAATGCCACTGCATATGTTCTGAAATTTCTGAAAATACTACCCCGAACTTTTCCAATCATCAAACAAGATTTGGATAAATCCGAATTTTATTTAATTCAAACTATTCAGAACAAATATTTGTCGAATATATTTAAGGCAATTACGGAAAAGAAACCCATAAAATCCAACATTCGCCGTCTTAACCCTTTTATTAAAGACGGGATAATTCGAGTAGGGGGGAGATTATCTAATTCTTTACTAGACTATGATCACCAGCATCCCATTTTATTACCTAAATTGGATAACTTTGTAATAGCCTTAATTGATCATTATCATAAATTATATTGCCATACTGGAGCTCATTTACTTTTATCCCTTTTACGACAAAAATATTGGATTTTATCTGCTAGAACCCTCGTGCGCAAACGTGTTTGGTTGTGTAATCGTTGTTTTAGAGCCAATCCTAAACCATCATATCCTATCATGTCAGATTTACCATCGGAAAGAGTTAATCAAACCAAAGCCTTTTTGACAACTGGTGCTGACTTCACTGGTGCCTACCATATCACTATGTTTCGCAAGCGAGGAGTGAGAAGTCAAAAGGCTTATGTATGCATATTTATCTGTTTTGATACAAAGGCCATTCACCTAGAACTCGCATCATCATTGTCAACTGACTGCTTTTTAGCAGCCTTTAAACGGTTTATATCTCGTAGAGGTAATTGTTTAAAACTTTATTCCGATTGCGGAACAAATTTTATTGGAGCTAAAGGTCGAATTAACGAGGTACAAAACCTTTTAGTCTCCCAAGAGTATCGTAATGCCTTTCAAATTGAATTGAATCTTAATAAAATTGAGTTACCTAATAACCCTCCTAAGGCTAGCCATTTCGGTGGCCTTTGGGAATCTAATATTCGCAGCATGAAACTACATTTTTCTAGAGTAATTGGAACGCAAATTTTGACTTACGAAGAGTTCAACACAGTGTTGACTCAAGTTGAAGCTATTTTAAATAGTCGTCCTTTATGCTCATTAAATCATGACCCTAATGATCCTATAGCTTTAACCCCTGCCCATTTTCTCTATGGTTCACCTTTAAACTCCTTCCCTGCGGAAACTTCTTATAACGAAAATATACATCCGGTTTCTAGATATAAACTATTAGAATCGATGATTCAGCATTTTTGGAAAAGGTGGCATAGTGAATATCTTTCAACTCTTCAAGAACGCAAAAAATGAAATACATCCACCTTGCCTATTAAGGAAGGTACTATCGTACTAATGTTACAAGAAAACCTACCTTCACTTCAAAGGCCTATAGGTATTATTGAAAAGGTGTATCCGGGCAAGGACGGAGTTATCCGTGTCGCTAGAGTGCGAATAAAAAATAATTCGTATACTCGTCCAGTAGTGAAGCTCTGTCCACTTCCTACTCAATAGAAATAGTTGTTATTTTTTTTTGTTTCAAAAATTTATATTAATTTGTATCTTAGTATAATATGTGGGTGGATATTATATATTTTTTTTGTATATTTATGGTTAGTATTAATTATTTTAAATTTAGTATTTGTTATTTCGCTTGAATTATAAATTCAATTTCGGGGGCCGCAGGATGTGTTGGCAATTAGTTTTGCATACCTATTAGGAACCATTGCAGTTCTAAAGGCATACCTGTGCACAATTTCTAAATGTTAAAGGCAGTAGCGACTTGAATTCGAACGTGAAAACAATAGATTACGGTCTTACAATTAATATTCTTTCGATATTTCTTTTGCCGATTTCGGGTGTTAATAATTACCACCTTCCTCTCTATCCCTTCTATTTTCCCTCCATAGGCGGTGAAACCCTAATATTTGAGAACGAACCAGCATCTACCGGTAAGTTTTTTATCATTAATTTCGGTTGTGTACGTTTTTTATACGACACGAGGTAACATGTCAAATTAATTATGACGGTAGATTTCTTTTT